CCCCAGCCGCTCTGCGGCATGTGGGATCTTCCCGGACCGGGGCACAAACCCGTGTCCCCTGCGTCGGCAGGTGAACTCTCAACCACTGCGCTACCAGGGAAGCCCTGATGTGCTGTTTTTTTTTTTTCACGGTACGCGGGCCTCTCACTGTTGTGACCTCTCCCGTTGCGGAGCAACAGGTTCCGGACGTGCAGGCTCAGCGGCCATGGCTCACGGGCTTAGCCGCTCCGTGGCATGTGGGATCTTCCCGGACCGGGTCACAAACCCGTGTCCCCTGCATCTACAGGCGGACTCTCAACCACTGCGCCACCAGGGAAGCCCTGATGTGGTATTTTGTTTGTTTGGTTATTTTGGCTGCACCGTGCGGCATGGGGGATATTAGTTCCCCGACCAGGGATGGAACCCTCACCCTCTGCAGTGGAAGCACAGAGTCTTAACCACTGGACTGCCAGGAAAGTCCCCAGAAGCACTGTGATAGCTGGGCAAGCTCAAATTTCATACCTGTGCTCATCCAGCTTGGGCAGTGTTTGCGTTGGAAAGGAACACTGATTTGTTTTGTTTTGTTTTTTAAATCATGAAATCCATCCATTTCTTCTCAGTTCCCTTTCCCAGAAGATCATCAAAGAGAGAATGGCCAGAATTACACTGAGAACCCTTGGATACTTACTAAATATCAATTATATTGATTTAAACATTTTAAATTTTACTGGCTGTCTTTAAAAGAAATGTCACTGAAGTTACGTCAGGCTGAAAACATTGTTTCCTGGGGGAACTTCATGCAGAAGAAAGACTGAGGTATATTTGTGTGTCTCAGGTTACTAAGGAAGCATCTGAGGAAGAGGATGCATACAGAGTCTAACTTGTGTTTTGAAACTGGAAGCAACTTCTTTATAACTTTTCCTACTGTTTGAAAATCTTCACCCCCTCATAGACTACCCAAGATATTTTCAGAATCTTCGGTCCCCAAACACACAGTGGGCACAAAACGGGTCCTGAGGAGGCAGTGGTGTTTGTTAGGCTGCTCCAGGGCCGAGATGCAGCTCCCCCTGCTGGTGGGCCTCCCAGTCCAGAAGGTATCTCCTGTGCTAACTGGCCTAGACCTCAACTTCCATCTCACAACCCAGTTCTGGTGGATTATGGCTTTAGTCCTTTGCTTCCTGTTTATGCACAGAAATTAGAAAGGGGACAGGTGAAATGTTAGAGGTCTTGTCTGTCTCATTATGAATAAGTCTTTAGAGCCTTCCCTTAGAAGCCTCTTAAAAACACACTCACACAAATAATGCACCTTTAGTATTCTCTTGGTTTTTAAAAATTACCTCAGTAATCCACACTTATTAGAACATGTCAAACAATTCAGAGGAATGGAAAGTAAAATTTAGTCTCTCCCTTCCCACTTTCAGTCCCAGTTCTAACCTCCATATAACCAGTGCTGACTCTTTGATGTCTGTTTCTCTGTGTTTTCTAAATATACAGGCACTTATATACAAGTTGGTTGGTTGGGGAAGGTTGAGGGTGGTAGTGTTTTGTTTATTTTGGGCTGCATTGGGTCTTCGTTGCTGCGTGCAGGATTTCTCTACTTGTGGCGAGTGGGGGCTACTCTTCCTTGTGGTGCACGGGCTTCTCACTGTGGTGGCTTCTCTTGTTGCAGAGCATGGGCTCTTGGCATGCGGGCTTCAGTATTTGTGGCACGCGGGCTCAGTAGTTGTGGCGCATGGGCTTAGTTGCCCCGCAGCATGTGGGATCTTCCCGGACCGGGGCTCAAATCCATGTCCCCTGCATTGGCAGGCAGATTCTTAACCACTGTGCCACCAGGGAAGCCCTGTTTTGTTTCTTTTTTAAATAAAATTGTATTAAACATACTGTTTTGCTACTTTAGTTTTTCCTCATAAAGTAGCATATTCTGGACATCTTTCCAAATGAAAATACATTTTAGTTGAGGGGAAAGAATATGAAAGTATCTGACTTGGGGAAAGCTGCTTCTACTTTAAGGGGGAAGGAAGGAGGAGAAAAGACTGGGAACACTGTCCATCTTGTGGAAACTACTGTTGTCACCCTTTTATGTGGAATTGTGGCAAAGTCCACACTTCTGTCCCAGCTTCAGGGTCCTGGTTTAACTACAGTAGCGGAGGGCGTATACATTTTCAGTTCTCACTTGAATATGTTATGTTCCGTAATGAAATAGCAGATGTGTAGCCTATGCTACTGCTATAAACATTCAGCAATCAGAGGGCAATTTTGCGGTAAAATTAGGTAATTTTAAGGATTAAAGGGTGTTTCTTCCTCAGAACTGACATTTTCAAGTTTGGCAAAAGGGATTTGGGGCTGAGCTAGTGTTAGGATACGATATTGTTGCTTTGGCCTCTCTGTGTTACTTTGTGTTGAATTTATTTACGGTCCAAGGCTCCTTCCTACAAGTACAAGGTGGGCTTGGGGTGGAGAGGTGTTGGTGTCTCCTGGGGGTAGGGAGCGGCAGCTGGGGAGTGGTGACCCGTGGCCCCTGCCAGTGTCTGGTTCTCCAGGGCTCCTGGCTGGAGGACCAGCTCGCCTGCAGGAAGAAACTCCACTTGACCTTTATGACAGCAAAGTGCTGTGCCCGGGCCGGTCAGGTCCCTTACTTCAGACAGGCTGCTGGTACAGAGAGCTGAGGACACCATCCTTCTCATTTTCACCTAGGCTTCTTTGTAGTCTGGGCCAAAAATCCATTCCTTTTCTACTTGGCTTCCCCCTCTTAGGGTGGGGAGAAAGTGATTCTCATTTTCCAAGGGAAATTTGGAGTTCAGTATTTATAAGTACCTTGAAATCTTTCTCTGGAAAGCACTGTAGAATCACATTATCTCTAATGGTTCTGAACAAGACTTGTGTAGGAACTGTCAGCCCTGACGGATGTGTTTTTCTCCCTGACACCTCTTTTCAGAACCCACACAGCAGTTAAAATAGCCCCAAGATACAGCGCGCCTGTGATCCATGTCCTGGACGCATCTAAGAGCGTGGTGGTGGTAAGTGTGGGCCTCGCGTTGTTTCAGAGCTCCTGTGAAGGGAAAACAGTGAGCTCTGAGCGTTAGAGCTGTGTTGATGGGGCAACACAGAGCGCTGAGCGTCGGGGCTGCTGTGAAGGGGAAACAGAAAGCGCTGAGATTTAGTCACAGCTGCTCGGAAGGGACAACAGAGAGCGCTGAGAGTTACAGCTGCTGTGAAGGGGCAACAGAGCGCTGAGTTATAGCTGCTCTGAATGGGCAACAGTGCGCTCTGAGAGTTAGAGCTGCGTTTAAGGGGCAACACAGGGCGCTGAGAGTTAGAACTGCTGTGAAGGGGCAACAGAGAGTGCTGAGATTTAGTCAGAGCTGCTGCTAAGGGGCAACGGAAAGTGCTGAGAGTTAGAGCTGCTGTGAAGGGGCAACAGAGAGCGCTGCGATTTAGTCAGAGCTGCTGTGAAGGGGCAATGGAAAGTGCTGAGAGAGCTGCTGTGAAGGGGAAACTGAGAGCGCGTAGCGTTAGAGCTGCTGTGAAGGGGCAACAGAGAGATGTGAGGTTTACTCATAGCTGCTCTGAAGGGGCAAAAGAGAGCGCTGAGAATTAGAGCTGCGTTGAAGGCGCAACACAGGGCGCTGAGAGTTAGAACTGCTGTGAAGGGGCAACAGAGAGCGCTGAGATTTAGTCAGAGCTGCACTGAAGTGGCAACAGACAGGGATGAGAGTTCGAGCTGCTCTGAAGGGGAAACAGACAGGGATGAGAGTTCGAGCTGCTGTGAGGGGCAACAGAGAGCGCTGAGATACAGTCAGAGCTGCTGTGAATGGGCAACAGAGAGGGCTGAGTGTTAGAGCTGCGTTAAAGGGGCAACACAGAGCGCTAAGAGAGCTGCTGTGAAGGGGCAACACAGAGCGCTGAGATTTAGCGTTGCTGAGAAGGGGCAACACATAGCGCTGAGTGTTAGAGCTCCTGTGAAGGGGCAACAGATAGTGGTGAGAGGTAGTTAGAGCTGCTGTGACTGGGCAGCAGAGAGACGTGAGAGTTAGAACTGCGTTGAAGGGGCAACACAGTGCGCTGAGATGTAGTCAGAGCTGCTCTGAAGGGGCAACATATAGCGCTGAGAGAGCTGCTGTGAAGGGGCAACAGAGCGGCGAGATTTAGACCTCCTGTGAAGGGGCAACAGAGAGCTGTGAGAGTTATTCAGAGCTACTCTGAAGGGGCAACAGACAGGGCTGAGTTAGAGCTGCTGTGAAGGGGCAACAGAGAGAGGTGAGATTAATTCAGAGCTGTTCTGAAGGGGCAAAAGAGAGCGCTGAGAGTTAGAGCTGCAGATGAGTGGCAACGGGGAGCGGTGAGAATTATTAGAAGATGTGTGAAGGCGCAACACAGAGAGCTGAGAGTTAGAGCTGCTGTGAAAGGGAAACAGAGAGTGCTGAGAGTTAGTCAGCTGATCTGAAGGGGCAACAGAAAGCGCTGAGACTTAGTCAGAGCTGCTGTGAAGGGGCAACAGTGATTGCTGAGAGTTAGAGCTGCGTTGAAGGGGCAACACAGCATTGAGAGTCACGGCTGCTGTGAAGCAGAAACAGAGTGGTGAGAGTTAGAGCTGCTGTGAAGGGGCAACGGAAAGCCCTGAGTTTTAGTCAGAGGTGCTTTGAAGGGACAACGGTGAGGGCTGAGAGTTTGTCAGAGCTGCTGTGAAGGGGCACAGAGAGCGATGAGAGTTAGAGCTGCGATGAAGGGGCAACAGTGCTCACTGAGGTTTAGACCTGGTGTTGATGGGGCAACACAGCATTTAGAGTCAGGGCTGCTGTGAGGGGAGACAGAGAGTGGTGAGAGAGCTTCGGTGAAGGGGCAACACAGATCGCTGAGATTTAGTCAGAGCTTCTCTGAACGGGCAACAGAAAGTGCTGAGAGTTAGAGCTGCTGTGAAGGAGAAACTGAGAGCGCTTAGCATTGGAGCTGCTATGAAGGGGCAAAAAAGAGAGGTGAGATTTATTCAGAGCTGCTCTGAAGGGGCAACAGAGAGCGCTGAGAGAGCTGCAGATAAGTGGCAACAGGGAGTGGTGAGAGTTATTCGAAGATGTTGTGAAGGCGCAACACAGAGCGCTGAGAGTTAGAGCTGCTTTGAAGGGGTAACACAGAGCGCTGAGATTTAGTCAGAGCTGCTATGAAGGGGCAACAGGGAGCGCTGACATTTAGAGCTTTTATGAAGTGGCCCCAGAGAGCGCTGAGAGTTAGAGCTGCTGTGAAGGGGTAATAAAGAGAGTGCTGAGAGTTAGAGCTGCATTGAAGGGGCAACACAAAGGTATGAGAGTTAGAGCTGCTGTGATGGGGCAACAGAGAGCGCTGAGATTTAGTCAGAGCTGCACTGAAGGGGCAACAGGGAGCGCTGAGAGTTAGAGCTGCGTTGAAGGGTCAACAGAGCTCGCTGAGGTTTAGAGCTGCTGTGAAGGGGCAACAGAGCGCTTAGAATTAGAGCTGCTTTGAAGGAGCAAACAGAGCGTTGAGAGTTAGAGCTCCTGTGAAGGGGCAATACAGAGCGCTGTGAGTTAGAGCTGCTGTGGAGGGGCAACAGAGATTGGTGAGATTTAGTCACAGCTGCACTGAAGTGGCAAAAGAGAGTGCTTAAGAGTTAGAGCTGCGTTGAAGGGGAAACAGAGCTCTGAGAGTTACAGCTGCTGTGAAAGGGCAATAGAGAGAGCTGAGAATTAGAGCTGCGTTGAAGGGGCAACAGAGAGCAATGAGGTTTACAGCTGCTGTGAAGGGGCAACTAAGAGCGCTTACAATTAGAGCTGCGCTGAAGGAGCAAACAGAGCGGTGAAAGTTAGAGCTCCTGTGAAGGGGCAATAGAGAGCACTGAGAGTTAGAGCTGCTATGGAGGAGCAACAGGGAGCGCTGAGATTCAGTCAGAGCTGCTGTGAAGGGGCAACGGAAAGTGCTGAGAGTTAGAGCTGCTGTGAAGGGGAAACTGAGAGCGCTTAGCTTTAGAGCTGCTATGAAGGGGCAACAGAGAGAGGTAAGATTAATTCAGAGCTGCTCTGAAGGGGCAAATGAGAGCGCTGAGAGTTAGAGCTGCAGATAAGTGGCAACAAGGAGCAGTGAGACTTATTCGAAGATGTTGTGAAGGCACAACACAGAGCACTGAGAGTTAGAGCTGCTGTGAAGGGGCAACAGAGAGCTCTGAGATTTAGAGCTGCACTGAATGGGCAACACAGAGCGCTGAGAGATAGTCAGAGCTGCTCTGAAGGGGCAACAGAGAGTGCTGAGATTTAGTCAGAGCAGCACTTAAGTGGCAACACAGAGCTCTGAGAGTTAGAGCTGCTGTGACGGGGAAACAGGGAGCAGTGCGAGTTACTCTAAGATGCTCTGGAGGCTCAACCGAGAGCGCTGAGAGTTAGTCACTTCTGTAAAGGGACAACAGAGAATGCTGAGAGTTAGAGCTCTGTGAATGGGCCACAGAGAGCGCTGAGAGTCAGAGGTGCTGTGAAAGGGAAACACAGAACGCTGTGAGTTGAGGGTATTTCCCAAAACATTCTATTGGTTTTTTTTTTTAACATCTTTATTGGAGTATAATTGCTTTACAATGGTGTGTTAGTTTCTGCTTTACAACAAAATGAATCAGTTATATATATACACATGTTTCCATATCTCTTCCCTCTTGCGTCTCCCTCCCTCCCACCCTCCGTATCCCACCCCTCCAGGAGGTCACAAAGCACCGAGCTGATCTCCTGTTTAATTGTACTAGAGAAATGTGAAAAAATATCCTTGGGCTCCTGTCGTGGTCACTGCTGGTCACTGTGGGTGGGTGCATTGCCGGAAGGAGGACGGGTGTGTGTGTCTTGTATTTTCCGGCACCACCCCCGAGGCAGCTGCAGCAGTGCTGGCCTGAGTAATAGGAACGGTGCCAGGACACTTGGACCTTGACACCAACCCAGAGAGAGATTTCAGCCGTTGACAAATATTTACAAACATGAATGGGCACTTCTTAACTCTGTGCCAGAGCTGAAAGGAATGCAGAATTTTTTAATCAATATTTTTTTTATTTGTAGTTTTTTTTACAACGTTGTGTTAGTTTCTGCTGTACAGCAAAGTAATTCAGTTATGCATATATATGCATTCTTTTAAAATAATCTTTTGCATTTATTTATTTATATATTTTTAACATGTTTATTGGAGTATAATTGCTTTACAATGGTGTGTTAGTTTCTGCTTTATAACAAAGTGAATCAGTTATACATATACATATGTTCCCATCTCTCTTCCCTCTTGCGTCTCCCTCCCCCCTCATCCCACCCCTCTAGGTGGTCACAAACCACTGAGCTGATCTTCCTGTGCTATGCGGCTGCTTTTCACTAGCTATGTATTTTACATTTGATGGTGTATATATGTCTGTGCCACTCTCTCACTTTGTCACAGCTTACCCTTCCCCCTCCCCTTATCCTCAAGTCCATTCTCTAGTAGGTCTGTGTCTTTATTCCTGTCTTGCCCCTAGGTTCTTCATGACCTTTTTTTTTTTCTTAGATTCCACATATATGTGTTAGCATACAGTATTTGTTTTTCTCTTTCGACTTACTTCACTCTGTATGACAGACTCTAGGTCCATCCACCTCACTACAAATAACTCAGTTTCGTTTCTTTTTATGAGTAATGTTCCATTGTATGTATGTGCCACATTTTCTTTATCCATTCATCTCTTGATGGACACTTAGTTTGCTTCCATTTCCTGGCTATTGTAAATAGAGATGCAATGAATAGTTTGGTACATTACTCTTTTTAATTATGGTTTTCTCAGGGTATATGCCCAGTAATGGGATTGCTGGGTCGTATGGTAGTTCTATTTTTACTTTTTTAAGGAACCTCCATACTGTTCTCCATAATGGCTGTATCAATTTACATTCCCACCAACAGTGCAGGAGTGCCTTTTCTCCACACCCTCTCCAGCATTTATTGTTTCTCGATTTTTTGATGATGGCCATTCTGACAGGTGTGAGGTGATACCTCATTGTAGTTTTGATTTGCATTTCTCTAATGATTAATGATATTGAGCATTCTTTCATGTGTTTGTTGGCAATCTGTATATCTTCTTTGGAGAAATGTCTATTTAGGTCTTCTGCCCATTTTTGGATTGGGTTGTTTGTTTTTTTGATATTGAGCTGCATGAGCTGCTTGTAAATTTTGGAGGTTAATCCTTTGTCAGTTGCTTCATTTGCAAATATTTCTCCCATTCTGAGGGTTGTATTTATGTCTTGTTTATGGTTTCCTTTGCTGTGCAAAAGCTTTGAAGTTTCATTAGGTCCCATTTGTTTATTTTTGTTTTTATTTCCATTTCTCTAGGAAGTGGGTCAAAAAGGATCTTGCTGTGATTTATGTCAGAGTGTTCTGCCTGTGTTTTCCTCTAAGAGTTTGATAGTGTCTGGCCTTACATGTAGGTCTTTAATCCATTTTGAGTTTATTTTTGTGTATGGTGTTAGGGAGTGTTCTAATTTCATACTTTTACATGTACCTATCCAGTTTTCCCAGCACCACTTATTGAAGAGGCTGTCTTTCCTCCACTGTATATTCTTGCCTCCTTTCTCAAAGATAAGTTGACCATATGTGCGTGGGTTTATCTCTGGGCTTTCTATCCTGTTCCACTGATCTATATTTCTGTTTTTGTGCCAGTACCATACTGTCTTGATTACTGTAACTTTGTAGTATAGTCTGAAGTCAGGGAGCCTGATTCTCTTTTGCATTATTGAATATAGGATATTGAATACAGTTCTCTGTGCTATACAGTAGGACTCTGTTGTCTATCTATTCTCTACATAAAAGCTTACATCTTCTAACCCCCTCCCCCTTGGCAACCACCAGTCTGTTCTGTATGTCCATGATTCTGTTTTTGTTTCATAGATAAATTCATTTGTGTCCTATTTTAGATTCCACATATAGGTGATATCATATGGTATTTGTCTTTCTCTTTCTGATTTACTTCACTCAGTATGAAAATCTCTAGGTCCATCCATATTTCTGCAAATGGCATTATTTTGTTCTTTTTTATGGCTGAGTAGTAAGGAATGTAGAATTTTTTTTAATGACCCATTTCCAGGTAGAAAAACGTTTAATCTGGAATGGGTCAATTGACCCTACCGAAGGGCAGAAAAGCATTCACAGATATATGTTGAAAACACAGAATTTGGTAAATATAATAAAGAACTTACCTAAGTGGTTTTTCCTGCTTTTCTCCATCAGTGAAGCCTAACATCGTCTCTTATTATGTGTTTCATTATTTTCACTGAATAATGGGATATAATAGGTTTTGGGAATCTGAGTGACCATGTTGTCCAGTGGTTTCCAAGTTTGTTTTAGCCACAGAAACCTTGTTTGCAAGTGATGTCTCCCCTGAAAACTCAGTAGAATACAAAGAAGAGCGGCCCCTTCCACCCCTCATCCCTTGAAAGAGCGCAATTTAAGCACCACTAATCTAGTCCAACCTTCACATTTGCAGGCGAGGGGCCTGGTGACTTGTGACACTACCAGGCACTGTCACGCAGCCTGGACCAGGGCGACACATTTCCTGAGCCATTTTCCAAAGGAATTCTTTCAGATCTTTGAATTTACTTATATGAAAATTATACAATAATCGCTAACATTATTAAATATTTATAGTGTACCCAGCACTGTGCTAAGTGCTTCATATGGATTTTTAATTTAATCCTCGTGAGGTATATACTTTCATTATCCCCATTTTAGAGGTGAGGAAACAGGAACGAAGAGATGAGTAACTCTTGAGGCCACACATCCCTGAAGCAACAGGTGTGGATTTGAATGCAGGTGCTCTTACTCTGTGTGGCGTTAGTTAAACTTGTTCCATTAATATTTAATGTCTCCTTTATTAAGAAGGATAAAATTAAATCGGGCTGGAGTCATAAAATTGCAGTTATTTAAATTGCCATTGAGATAGACTAACGTGCAAATAAACTACATTTCTACAACTCAATTTAAAAACAATTTTTTGGATCTTATATTTGGATAGTGTTTCGTAAAGAGGTTATGTCAGGTCCATGGTTGAGTAACCAGTGAGCCTCTCTTTAAGGCTTATTCCTGTTTTCAAATGCTAATGAATGACTGTAAACATTTCCTGTTTGGAGACCAGGCCGTTGGTCCCGTTTGCGTGCACAGTGGTACCACTGACCCCACAGGTCGGGGAAGACTTTAGCTGGGAATGACTTGGTCCCTTGATTCTCTTCCGAGGACACTCCTCCACCGTCTGGAAGAGCTAAAGCTCCGTGGGCCCAGCTGGAAGCCAGCAGAGGATGAGGCGTGGGTGTCTGTGCCTTTTACCGTTTGGTCCAGCCAGGCAGTCGACAGTAGTTGGCTCTTCTCATATACAAAGAAACAGCCACCTTTTGAAATTACTCAGACATAAGTCTGATGGTAAATCATTTGGGTTATTGCCAGTGACACATTTCGGGAGTCAGTGGTACAGTTTGTTTAGGTTGATTTGTTTAGATTGATGGTTCAGAGTCTTGATCTCACTGCAGTGATCATGACGCAGGATCACACTGTAGCTACTGTCTCATGTATTTATTTGAAAGGTTCCAAAATGTGGCAATTACATACATAGTAGTTGGAGATTTAGACTGGACGATGGATGCCCCCTTACTTTCTTTCCTTTTTTTAAAAAAAAATTAAAAACAAGGTGCGAATATTCAGTCCTCTTTAAATTAGAAAATAAATTTTCAGCGTATTCCCAACGTAAATTGTGCTGCAATTTGCCGTGAAAAAGAAAAAAGAAAAAAAGGAAGAGAAAAATTCTACTATGTCTGATGGTTGGCAAGAAAACACAGGATGGACTCTGGTTTTGTGATGGAAGGACCACATAGATTAGCCCATATAATTGGCCATGAGCTTGTTTCCATTGAGCAAGTCAGCCTGGGCAGGGAGGGGCCTGTCGCCACAGCTCTGGCAGCAGGAGCTCCACGGGGGGTGTGGAAGGGACCAGCCAACAGCAGCAACCCCTTCCATTTACCCAGTAGTTCCTGTGTCGGATGCTGTCAAGTTCTGGAAATCAGGGGGTTACTTTCTCAGAGTTTAAATTCTAGCAGAATGCAACAGTGTTTTAAAATACTGATTGCATGTACTTTGGGGGAGCTCAGGAGTAGACATCCCTTCTTGTTTTCATGAGCTCTGCTGGATTTCCTAAATGAGGACTCCATTGAGGTGAGGTTCATGTAAGACTGGGAATTACTCTAGTATGCATACCATTTGGGAGCCTGTTTTTAGGCTTATCACAATGGCCTTTACTGATTATATTTCTTAAAGTGATTTGGTTTTATACTAACTCACAGGTGATTGGATTTTTATTAGAGATACTTAGACAATTCACACAGATTTATAGACATTTAGAGCTGATGGGCACTTTAGCCATCATCCAGCCGAACTTCCTCCATTTCAGATAATGGGATTGAACTTCCCTGCCTTTTTGTGTGTTAGAAAATCCTGCTGCAGGATGCAGAGTTGGGGCAGTGCTGTGATTTTGGAACTGATGGGAACAGCAGCAGCCATTTCCTCTTCCTTTGTGATTTTATTTTGAGCTTTGGTGGCAGCTATTCTACCTATTTGATAATCATAGTCATAAATACTATTTAGCTGATTCTAGTTTTACAGTTTACTGAGTAGCCTCACTTTTCTCAGATGATCAGTTTCCTTTCTTATTTTAGCACAAGCTCATGGTTGACTGTGAAGATCAGCCTCATTCCATCAGCAAATATTTTGTGAGGATGCACCTTCTATGTTCGGGGCCCCACGTTAGAAGCCAGGGGCATGAAGGTGGTTAAGGTGCAATCCTACCCTCACAGGGCCTGTCCTCTAGTCAGGGAGGTAGATGCCTAGGCAGATGCTGGAAGCCTGTGGTAAATGCAGTGATGGAGAGATGAACAGAGTATCTTTGAAACCCTGAAGAGGGGGTACCTAACCAGTGTGTTTTGGGGCCCCAAGACCACTCCCAGTTTCAGTGATTTGCTAGGACTCACAGAACTCAGAAACACTGTTATACTCACAATCACGGTTTATAACCATGAAAGGATACAGATTAAAATTGAGTGGAATCTAGAAAAGGCCAGGCACCAGAATCCGGGTGTCTCTCCCCTCGGAGTCATACGGACAGAGCTTAATTCTTCCACTAATGATGTGTGACAGCATGTACGGAGTGTTGCCAACCAGGGACGCTCGCCTGAGACCTAGTGTCTTGGGCTTTTATTGGAAGCCAGTCACATAGGCAGGGCATGCTCACCTGTCTGACCTGTCTGAGTACCTTATGGGGTACTCAGGCTTCAACCCCTCCAGAGGTTAGATAGCATGTAAGCCAAGTTCCCCCATAATTCACATTGTTAGCATAAACTTTCTGGGATGGCCCGAGGCCCCAGGTAGACAAAGACATTCTTTATCAGGCAGGATATTCTGAGGGCTTAGAGTTTATCTCCCAGGAACGGACAAAGTCCAGTCTATTCTTTGTAACGTGCAACATTGGAGCATCCCAGCCCTGCTGAGTTAACCCTTTACTGTAAAGCCAGGCAGGCATTAGCACAACTGGTGAAGGGAGAGGAAATGATGTTAGTATGGGAAGGCTTCCTGAAGGAGGTGACCCTAGGCTGACCAGTATTACTCATGTTTTATCTTCTTTCGCTGCTCTATGGTTATTGAACTTTGATCTTGCATTTTCAGTGTTCTCAACTGTTAGATGAGAATCTAAAAGATGAGTACTTTGAGGAGATTATGGAAGAATATGAAGATATTAGACAAGACCATTATGAGTCTCTCAAGGTAAGTGACAAAAACAGGTCCCCGCTTGTTTGAGTAATAAAACGATCCTACAGTTTTTTGTTTTTTGGTTTTTTTGGCTGCGTCAGGTCTTAGTTGCGGCATGCAGGATCTTCGTTGCGGCATGCGGGCTTCTCTAGTTGTGGCCCGTGTCTCCAGGGTGCTCAGGCTCGGTAGTTGTGGTGCGCGGGCTCTCTAGTTGTGGTGCACGGGCTTAGTTGCTCCACAGCATGTGGGATCTTAGTTTCCTGACCAGGGATTTAACCTGCATCCCCTGCATTGGAAGGCGGATTCTTAACCACTGGACCACCAGGGAAGTCCGATTCTACAGTTTTTAATGTGAATGTGCTGTTTGGAGGAGGGGAAGGTTTGGGATCATTTTTGGGAAGTCCTACTTTCTAGTTCACATCAGCGTTCTTCAGTGTTCCCAGTAATTTTGGGTTATATTAAGGTTAATTTTATTTATTCCTCCAAACATGTACTGAGTAAGAAGTAGGTGTTGGGTGCTATGTTGGCTGCCACTTATGAGAATGAATAAAACATGAACTTATAGGCAGAAGGGAGACGGGGACTGAGTGTACTGAGGTGGCTCTCACAGATCCTTATGCTTGAGGAAATAATGGAAGAGAATGAAGACATTAGACAGGACCATTGTAAGTTTCTCTGCCTGATCACCCGAAGCTCTCTGTGCAGAATAATGTTTCAAGAACTGTCCCTCTGTAGATTAGCTTCAGGTGATCCATGGAGACTAGGCATGATTACTCTTCAGAGGTCGTTGGGATATTTTTTCCTGGTTATCTGCTTGCTGGGCCTTGTGTATGGGGAGGCGGGGCGTGTATTTCAGGGGTGGCCAGGTAAGTGAAATGGGATAACAGACAGCAAGACGGGGACAAGGTTCTGAGGTGTCAGCTGGACCAAGGCACTGTGGTTGGCCTTCCCCTTCCTTAGTTTGCCTACGTTTGGCTGTTTCTTGGTTCTGCCTTCTGGGCCTCAGGACAGTCGGTGGCCACCAGTTAATCCCAGCCTCAGGTGAAGTACAGGCAGGAGGCCACCCCGTCGCACGCTTTACCTCACGGTGAAGGCTGCAGGTCCACCTGGCATTTGCGTATCCATATGTAACGGATGCTCATTGCATCTTTACTCTCTATTGTTCTGGTGCTGATGTGAAGCCATATTGGATGGGAAAGGAAGAGCTTTCTGGGATATGAATTTTCATGAATAAAAGCGTGTGTTTTCTTGCAAAACATTTACTAGCTTCCTTGGGCATGCTTTCATAGTAGCAGCTGAAACACTGAGTCTCTGACTGAATGACTTTTCCTTTTTTCATAGGAAAGAAGATACTTAACCTTAAGGCAAGCTAGAGAAAGCGGTTTCCATATTGACTGGCTGTCAGAACCTCCCCCAGGTCTGTATGGCTATTGGTTAGAGAAAAGTGCATGTGATAACTGTGTACTGAAGAGATGTTTGCATTTACTGAGCAGCAGAATCAAACAGGCAGCTAAAAACTCTTAATTATGTTCAGTAGTGATGACGAAGGGCAGTGATGATCAAAAATAAAAGTCAACAGGTGCCATTTATGGAGAACTAAACATTGTCCCGAGATTGACCTGCAGCGGCTCTGAGTCCTTGACACAGGAAGTGCTATTATCCCCACTTTTACTTGAAGAAACTGAGTTTTGGGTAATAACTTGGGAGGTTACTAGCATTCTATCTCTGATCTGTCTTCTAAACCCATACTCTTGCCTCTGTGCTTTGTTTGAGTGGGCCTCCTTCAGGTTGAAGCCAGTTCTAGAGACCTGCCTGGGTGGTGCTGTCACTACCTTGGCCTAGGTCCCAGGCGGGCCCAAGTGCAGACGTGGAATGTCTGAAATTGCACATGCCTGCGCGTTGAACAGACCTTAAAACATTGCAGTGAAGCAGGCTCTCCTATTTTTGTTCACTCTCATTCTCTCTTGGATGCTTCCCTCTTTTGATTTCTTTCATTTGGTTTCTTGCCCTTCTGATTTCTAGCCACTTTTCTTGCCTTGCATAGGTGTTCATGAAGGAATAAAATGTGTAAGACGTTTTGACAGGTTCAAAGAGGCATGTGATACGAATGCAAAATCGAGACAGGGTGAACAGGGGTTATATTAATTGAATCTGTATTTCCCAGGTAACATCTCAAATCCACTTTCATTGCTCATGACCCCCGTGTTCTGCACACACTCAGCAGAGTGGATTAAATTGGAAACATAGGTGAGCTGGGTTCTAGATTCAGTCCTGCTGAGTTCAGTGGGGTTTAGTGAGAAGAAGGCAAATGGGGAGCTGGGAGGCTTGGGTTCTGATCCCAAGTGACCTTGAGCATATTGCTTCCATGTTTGACAGTTTCTAATATGTAAAAAAGGAGTTACTTTATGGAAATGTGAGGATAAAATAAGACATGTAAACCTTAGAAAAGGTTATCTTTTTCTAATATTTTTCTGATATTTTCCTGGTTATCTGCTTGCTGGGCCTTGTGTATGGGGAGGCGGGGCGTGTATTTCAGGGGTGGCCAGGTAAGTGAAATGGGATAACAGACAGCAAGACGGGAACAAGTTTCTGAGGTGTCAGCTGGACCAAGGCACTGTGGTTGGCCTTCCCCTTCCTTAGTTTGCCTACGTTTGGCTGTTTCTTGGTTCTGCCTTGTGATTAGAATATTAGTGATTAGAAAAATATTAGTGATTAGAAAAATATAAATCACTATATAGTCCAAACTATTATTTTCTTTTCCTTTCAGTATGAAGTTGGAAAAATATCACAAGGGGGAGCCCATTTTAGCCAAGCCAAGCGTCCAAAATACATGTCAGTGGCAATAGTCCACTGAAGGCCTGCAGCACCAGGTGGCAGTGGTGACACTTTTCAAGTGGCTGTTTAACCCCCATGTAGGGCCCCTAAGGACAACCCAGCCTTAGCGTAGTTGCAAGAAGTCAATAAAGAGAGAAGGAAAGGTTCTTCTCTCTAGGTCTTTGGTGGTAAAACCTCAAACACATCTCCAACTCTGGCTGACAAACTCATTCAAGAATAACACCCTTGAGTGACCCGGAAGCAGAGCGTTTCCCTGACTTTACAGGCAGGGTGACACTTCAGTCAGGAGAATAGCTGTAATTTCTTTTTAATTACCAAACAAACCAGCATAATAGAATATTTACAAAGAAAGGATTGTCCTGTATAATAAAAAGATGACCAGGAACACATGGGAAAAAGCTACCATGAACTATGTCAAAAGGTAGAGATTTCCAGGCAAAATTAAGAAGCTGCACATACTTTTCTTTTCCTGTACTTTCACCTCTCACTGTTACTGTCTAACGAGGGAAAAACACTTTTGAGACTTCCGTGTTATCCCTGAGCACCTGAGCGTGGTGCTTTAGTTTAAGTTCTCTGATCCTTATTTGCAGATCAGGAAACTGAGGGCGTGAGGGCTGGGAAGCGGGCAGTGGAGTGGTCACCTTGGACCCCAGCCTAACCAACCGGGACTTGGTGGTGCGGGGCGGTACTGGTGCCCCAGGAAGCCCAGTGGCATCATCTGTCTCTGAAGTCTTCACCAGTATTTCACTTAGGATCTTTTTTAGATTCACAGGGAGGCGTAAAGAAGACTGTATTGAACATTCATGTACCTCCACCAGGCACTTAAGGAATAAGCTACTGCCCACTTAAAAAAGACAAAACCATACATGTGGGAATTACTGTGAGCCCCTGCAGTATCCTGAATTTGATGCCTCATTTCCGTGCATTTCCGCAGACTTTGATTATGTGCATATGTTCAGTAGGCAATACATTGATCGATTATTGATTCATGTTTTTAAACTTTATGGAAGTGGCCTGTTACATGTGCTCTTTCTTTTAGTATCGTCTTCATTTGTACAAGTGAGATCAACCCCAGTCTGTCTTGTTTCTTGGGTGGGGGTGTTGGTGGGGAGGGTTGAGGGAAGAGTTTCCAAGGGTGGTGGTGTCAGTCAGCTGCAGGGGAAGAAGAGGTTTTTTTAAGATGTGCTGGCTAATTACTCCTTCTCCGCAGTAATTTCAAGTTCCCCTCTTTGTAAAACAACTGCTCCAGGTGACAGGAGGGAGGCGGAGCGTGGGAGCCAACAGAGCGGGAAGGCCTCCCGGAGGCGGCACCAGGCATGAGTGGCACTGAGCCTCAGGCCGGCGCCAGGGTTCACGCCTCTCACTCTGTCCTGTAGTGAAGCCCACGTTCCTTGGGACTCGGGTCTTTGAAGACTACGACCTGCAGAAGCTGGTGGACTACATTGACTGGAAGCCTTTCTTTGACGTCTGGCAGCTCCGGGGCAAATACCCAAACCGAGGCTTTCCCAAGATATTTGACGACAAAGCTGTAGGTTAGTTCAGTAAGTCCTTACATCCTGCTCTGGTATCCGAGACATGGTCTTGGGACTTTGAAGACAAGAATAGGTGGTGAGCAGCGGGGTGGATTATGCAGGAGAGCGTTTACTGTTAGGACATGATGTAGGGTACTGTTCCATCCGCTCGGCTCTTTGACAGTTTGTAATCTGCTGAGTTGGTCCTTATTTACTGACTACATTTCGCATTTCATTTATCCATTCTTTACTAAATGTTTATTGACATCAGTTACATGCTGGGCACTGGGGATAAACAAAAGAAGATGTATCATCGCTGCCGTCTGGTACCTGGCTGGCTGGTGCAGCATTGGAGGGTGATTCCCGTACAGCAGGATGAGCTCCTGCTGCGGGACCAAGGCCCGGCTTCTGTGGACACAGGGAAATGAGACAGACCTCAGAGTGGGACATCAGGAGAGGCTTCCTGGAGGAGGTGGTGTTTGAACTGCTTTTTGAAGATTAGTGGGAGCTACTGGGCCTGGGACTGGGAATGTGAGGTGGTGATGAAGAAAAGGACACTCCAGGCCGAGGAGACCGAGTGGGAAGGCACAGATGCGTGGGCTGATTTGGGGACCGGCAAGGAGCCTATTGTGCCTGCTGGGGAGGGGCTGGGGGTGACAAGCTAGTTGATAGATAAACTGCTAGCCCTGCGTCTCGCTGTCAGCCCTGCCCCCAGAGACATGGGACCGAAACACTAAGCCCTTCAAAGGGTTCTGTAACAGCCAGCTCAGAGCAAGGTGGGGGGTGGACTGGTGGGTGTATGGGGTTAGGGCTGAGGGGAGCCTGGGAGAGTGGCCCTTGCCCGCTTCCTGGGGGGGCCCTGGGTTGCGTGTTAGGTGCTGTGACTCAGCGGCTCCCGGGCTAGCCGAGGTGCAGCAGTGGGCAAGGGCCTCTCATTCTGATCTGCTCCCGAGTGATCACAGATGAGCAGTTGAGTGGCTGAAGCAGGGCTGGCCAGGCCCGGACAGAAAGCCTAACCCTAATCCTGCTGGCTCCCGCCGGAACCAGGTGAGGGCCTGACGGGCCCTGGGCTGGGCCATCCGGGAGCAGCACTGAAGCCACACTCCACTCCTCAGGCTGTTCTGCACCCCCAGGGGTCACGGCGAGGTCAGGGGAGCTGTCTGTGCATGAGGAAAGTGGTGGTGGAAGGGTCTGGCCTGCCTTGACTCACTCTCTGTCTGATACATTGCTGCAGGGAGCCAAGAGCTGGCTCTCTGCCTTTTGTTAAATGGAAAAATAAGTGGCTTGAGCTGGCGAAGCAGACTGTGTACGGGAGCTGCACTTAGCAGAAATGCTGAACCCTTAGCTCCTGCACCTGGGGTTGCTGATGGCAAACACTGATTTTTAAAGTATTTGAGGGGAAAAGAGAGGGGTGAAGAGAGAAGATGGCTGAGGAGAGGTAGTAGTTTTAAAAAGAAGCATTCTTTGCTGGTTATTATTGGCATCTCTAAGTGAATTCTTACGATATTTTCCTAACAGGTGAAGAAGCCAAAAAAGTCTATGATGATGCCCAAAATATGCTGCAGGCACTGATTAGTCAGAAGCAGCTCCACGCCAGGGGCGTGGTTGGGTTCTGGCCAGCGCAGAGCAGCCAGGACGACATCCACCTGTATGCGGAGGGCGCTGCACCCCAGGCCGTGGAGCCCATCGCCACCTTCTACGGACTCAGGCAGCAGGTGCGGAGGCCGTGTGGCCAGCGGACACATTGCCCTACTCTTTGTTTTAAGCACTCAAAAAACATAAATAAGAATGGTGTAAGTTTGAACTTTGTGTAAGCATAGCTCTGCCCCACCTCACCCCAAATGACCAGTCACAGCCCCGAGCCCAAGGCATTTGTGATATAGAGAAGGGGCCAGTGTGGGTTTAGAAGCTGGGCCTCTCGGGCACCAGCAGGAGGGAGGTGTTTCCTGTCGGGGTTGGTTGGGTGAGGAGAAACACTGCTGCTGCCTCAGGGGGTCACGCACAGTTGGACATTCACTTGCTCAAGAACGTTGGTTTGCATCCGGGCCTGTCATTAAAATAGGCTGGCGGCTCCTTTCTCAAGGCGAAGACTGGGGGGAGCAGACATTCGCTGGGTGTCTACCAGGGGCCAGCTGCTTAGCAGGGCACTTAATGGACCTTCTTGTTTCATTTCCACACAACCTGTTGTCGGGCAGTTTACATGTTTCCATTTTGCAGAGGTGAAAACGAAAGCTGATGGAGAGTGCGCTGAGCTGTGCAGCTCGGAGGGGAGAGCCCAGCCTGTCCACACCCCGATGGCTGTTGTCTCATGCCACTGGCTTCTCCCGGGTCACAGAACAGGCTCTCCTCCACACGGCGCCCTCTCCTATGACCCCACCTTTAAACATGCAAATCTGTAAGCATGTCCCTTTAGCTGCTATAAAAAATGAGCTGGGGCTTCCCTGGTGGCGCAGTGGTTGAGAGTCCGCCTGCCGATGCGGGGGACACGGGTTTGTGTCCCGGTCTGGGAAGATCCCACATGCCACAGAGCGGCTGGGCCCGTGAGCCATGGCCGCTGAGCCTGCGCGTCCGGAGCCTGTGCTCCGCAACGGGAGAGGCCACAACAGTGAGAGGCCTGCGTACCGGAAAAAAAAAAAAAAGAGCTGCCCTGATCAAGAATTGGAGCCAGAATTCACCAGTCATTAACAAAGGACGGTGGCAAGTGATTCTCGCATATGGTCTTATTACCATTTTCAGTCATTCAGGAGTGATAGTATTGCTTTTAATCATAATCACAGTGTAATTCATAATGTCAGATGTTTTAACTGTAACAACGTCTGAGGGAATCCTTAAACTTGGGACATTAAACAGTACCATAACAAGTTAAATGGGGGCATCTACACCATTACTGTGTGCACCCAGGCCCAGTACGTCCTCACTCTCTGCACCCAGGCCTGGTGCATCCTCACTCCGTGCACTCAGGCTCAGACACCTCAGAACACAAGAGGATTCTAATGTTAAGTTCTAGCCCCTCCTCACTAGGGAACTGGTGACTTTTCTTTTAAAAAAGTAATTAAGGTCAGAAACCTCCACCCTGGCCTGAATTTCCATCCTTCAAGCCCTGTGTCCTCTGACCTCTTTTTACATCCAACACCATTCATGTCCAGGCAGTCTGTGAGGGACTGTATTAGGGCATTTAATATAATGACTTTTCAATGTACGTGTATTACCTACCCAGATAGCTATTTCTAAGGATGTGCTTTTTTCCAGTACGCTGGAAAATTCTGCCTGCAGCAACTTACTGCTCCGGGAGTCTTCTGTTCTGAGTGGCTCTGATCGCTGTCTATTTTAAAGAGCTGTATGGCTCTGTGACCTGTCTCTCCTTATGGTGCTGGGAAACTTTGTATCTCCTTGTGGCTTTTGTTAGCAAAGAACAGTTGATGGGCAGAGTACAAGTGGAAGGCAGCTCCTCCCTGCATAGCTGGCCCTGGCTCTGTGACATTTCCACTTTATCAAATACCTTCTTGTCTGCAGCCACTTAACTGTTTTCTGCCCAGTGTCGATTAGGCTGTACTTGTTTCCAGAGCTGGCAAGCAAATAGCTGTGAAGCTTCTGGGTTGACTGCTCATTAATTGGTCTGTCCTAAGCAGTGTTGTATAGTGGTCAGGAGCATTGGTTGTGGATCAGACCCATGGGCCTGCCACTGTCTGACCTTGAACTAGTTCTTCAAGCTCTCGCTGCCTTGGATTTCTTGTATGAAATGGAGCTGGTGGTGTCACTTACTTCACGAGGTTGTTGAGAGGATTGGATTAGTTAATTCATATAAAGCACCAAGACCAGTGCCTGACACACAGTCAGCACTCAGTAAATATTAGTCATTTGTTATTTACCTCCTCAGCAAACGTGTTGATTGTGAAGTATGTGTAAGACCTTATTTGTCAGCTCAGTAGCAGGGATAAGTCAGTCATCAGCTGAAGGTGGAAAGCAGGCGAGGATGGCCACCTGGCCTGAGGAGAGAACCTCAGAAGCAGATCCTGCTCAATTTTTGATTGGTTTCAGGCCAGCCCAGCAGTGTCCTTAGCCATCCCCTGACCCACCGTCCGTGGTGGACAGCACGTGGCCCTGTGTTGCTGACCTTAGCTGTTTGTTGAACTGCTTCTGTCGATGTAAAGTAGAGGCTTACACACTTAGTGGACCCCTTTTGAACATAACTTTAGGATTTAATGTGGATCTTGAATTGAAAACACTTTTGGAGGAAAAGAAAACCTTTTTATATGAATATTTAGGGTTCCAGTTTCTGTAGGCATTCAGTAAATGTTTGGTCAGTGTGTGAATGAGCGAGTTAACTGGTTTCTCAACTGTGTATGTCATTTCATGTCATATCTTTCTAAAAGATCTCGTTCCATTTATTTATTCAACACATGTTTATTGAACACTCACTACATATCAGGCGCCCTTCTAAGTGCTGGGGATGTAACAGTGAACAAAACAGACAGACAGCCCCATTTGAAGCTGTATTCTTTGGAAGGTGCTCGATTGCTCTTCTCTGTGTGTTGGTGCCAATTCTATGCTAATGGCCACTCTGCCCACTCCTTGTGTTTCAAGGCCGAGAAGGACTCTGCCAGCGCAGACCCCTACCTCTGCCTCTCGGACTTCATCGCCCCTCTGCACTCGGGCGTCCCCGACTACCTGGGTCTGTTTGCCGTCGCCTGCTTCGGGGTGGAAGAGCTGAGCAAGGCCTACGAGGAAGAGTGTGACGACTACAGCAGCATCATGGTCAAGGCGCTGGGGGACCGGCTGGCCGAGGTAGAGCCACGGTGCCCTGAGGCCAGAGTGCGCGCACACGTGTGCGTGTGTGTGTGCGCGTGTGTGTGTGTGTGTGTTGGGCTCTAACAGCACACATACTCTTAAATCCTGTATTTTCGAGTCACTCTCGCGCCTCATCTTTGGGCACAGAGTAGCCTTCAGCGACGCTGTAGTTGGAGTGGCCCGTGGAGCCTTGACTTCCTTGTCTTGGTTCTGGTGTCGCCCTGTGCTTGTGATTTGATGTTTTCCAGAGGACCCTGCAAAAAGCCAAACAGGTTCTGTTTCAGAGCTTCTCGTTCTGATGTTGGGCTCCCCTGTAGATCCCTCATCTTCCTCTGTCGGTGGGGCAGCCTAAGCTGTGGGAGCCGCTCCCCTTTTCCGGAGGCTCACAGCAGAGTCAGTGGCTGCTGTCATGGTCCCTGCTCCTCCTTCTGGCCACCATAAGCTGTAGCCTGAGCATCAGAGAAAGGTCTGAAGGGCCTCGGATCCTCGGATCATTGAATATGATCCTTGAGAGCCCGGGCTGAGGCCAGAACTGAGCCGCAGAGCAGCTGATGACAGTACAGATGAGTTGAGCCCCCGGCCCATCCTTCTCACCGGTTCCCCCACCTGCTGTCGGGTCAGGGAGGAGTGTTTGCGGGCGGAACGGCGGGCAGGAGGGAGGGTAGGAGAAGGGCTCCCGCCTCCTTCCGACCGTGTGTTCCGCCCCAGGCCTTCGCCGAGGAGCTGCACGCGCGGGTCCGCAGGGAGCTGTGGGGCTACTGTGGTGGCGAGCAGCTGGCCGTGGCTGACCTGCGGAGGCTGCGCTACGAGGGCATCCGGCCGGCACCCGGCTACCCCAGCCAGCCCGACCACACCGAGAAGCTGACCATGTGGAGGCTGGCGGACGTGGAGCGGCACACAGGTCAGCACCGGGCAGGAGCGCATCCTGCCTCATGTTACACACACGGTAGCGGAGCGAAGGCGTGCGGGGGGAGCAGGTGGGAGACACGGAGAGGCTTACAGTGAGATCCCTGATCCCATCGTTTCTCACTTCCAGCAGTGTGTTCTAGTCCTTCACCTCCATATTATTATTATTATTTATTATTATTATTTTTTGCGGTACGCAGGCCTCTCACTGCCGTGGCCTCTCCCGCTGCGGAGCGCAGGCTCCGGACGCGCAGGCTCAGCAGCCATGGCTCACGGGCCCAGCCACTCCACGGCACGTGGGATCCTCCCGGACCGGGGCACGAACCCGTGTCCCCCACATCGGCAGGCGGACTCTCAACCACTGCGCCACCAGGGAAGCCCATATATCATTATTATTTTAACAGGAGGAAAAGAAACTCATTTCAATTCATGCACATGGAGGCCCTGTAGAATTATTGTTGAGTAGTGGTCTTTCATCACCATTTTCAGGTTTATCAGTTTTCATTATTTTCTTTTCACCTACAATAGATGGGAGCTTAGCTGACTCACACCAGCCCGTACATCCCCTGCCCCATTTTCCTATTACATGTGTGTTACTGTTTTCAGTCTCTCCACTATTGAGTGACCTTTGTAACCTTTAATAATGTATTTCACATCGCTCTCTCCTTCCACCACTTCTAGGAGTGTCTCTGGACCCTCGTCTCACAGAATTCCCACCCTTCCCTTCCGCTCCCTCTCTCTTTACTTCTACACCACTGTGAACACAGTGTACTGTTTTCAGTGGAGTTCATCAAAAGCATGCCATCCACACTGAAGACGTTAAAGGAATGTAGATGGACGTGAAGAGCTATGAGGCTCATTGAATCTGGGCTGGCAGGGATGTCACCGGCTCCAGGAGACAGGAGACGGGGACTTGGGGACCCGTTTCTGTCGTAAGCCAGCTGGGCAATCTTTGGCAAAGCACCGAGCCTTTACGTCGCTCCGTTGCCTTGTCCAGAAAGTGAATGGCGTAGACTAGATAGCCTTGGTGTGGGCTCATCCTCAATGGGGCCTGGCTGTCTGTCATTCCCCTAGTGGCCTTGGCCTCACAGGTGCGCTTGGAGGTCCAGGTGGTGTCCCCATCTGCAGGGTTGGAGTCCTTGTCTAGAAGGCCCAGGCGTAGCCTCCATGGCTGATCTTGGAGGGCAGGCATAAGAATGTAGAGTCTTTTCCAGGCCTCTCCCCCCAGGTTAGAGGAAATCTGCACATCCTGAATTTGTTCATCCCCTCGGCGGGAATTTGCTAGACGAGTCTGCTCACATCTTTCGTGCTATGTCACGTGTCCACCTGGAAGGCACAAGCTCACTCTCATTCACTTGTAAACAAGAATATACTGGGAGCCAACCACTTGGCAGGCCTGTCTCAGCACTGGATAAACGAACGTTTCTCCCCATGCTGCTCTCCCCAGGCATTAGGTTAACAGAATCGCTGGCCATGGCACCTGCTTCAGCGGTATCCGGCCTTTACTTCTCCAATTTGAGGTCCAGATATTTTGCCGTGGGGAAAATTTCCAAGGATCAGGTAGGTTAGCTGTTTCATTGTGTGTGGCATCCCTAGATGCCTGTCTTGTTTTGAATGGAACTGTTAAACCTGTTTTATTTTACATGTGAGTGAGAATAAAATGAGAGGGAAAGGATGAAGAAATGTACTCCAGTTTATGTCTTGATTTGATTTCAGCCCACTGCCCCATTTCTCACCCTGCTGTTTACACAGAGACCAACCCTCCCACACCCCTGCCGCACACACACCCCAGCCAGGCTCTCAGCCTGAGGTAGTTACGACATGTTGTTTTTCTGCCCGGAAAATAAGGCACCTCGATGAATAGATAAATATCTGTCTCCATTTAACTCAGTGGATTACTATTAAGGCAAAAGACATAAAACGTACTTAATGTATCTTGGCGAATGCTGTGGAAACTTGAGTTCAAAAAGTCTTATCGGGGCTTCCCTGGTGGCGCAGTGGTTGAGAATCTGCCTGCTAATGCAGGGGACACGGGTTCGAGCCCTGGTCTGGGAGGATCCCACATGCCGTGGAGCAACTAGTCCCGTGAGCCACAACTACTGAGCCTGCGCCTCTGGAGCCTGTGCTCTGCAACAAGAGAGGCCGCGATAGTGAGAGGCCCGCATACCATGATGAAGAGTGGCCCCCACTTGCCACAACTAGAGAAAGCCCTCGCACAGAAACGAAGACCCAGCACAGCCAAAAAAAAAAAAATTAAAAAATAATTTTAAAAAATGTTTAAAAAAAAAAAAGTCTTATCATTTTGTTTTAATAAACTGCTTTTAATCTTTTGCAGATTGAGGATTATGCTTTGAGGAAGAGCATGTCTGTGGCCGAGGTTGAGAAATGGCTGGGACCCATTCTGGGATATGATACAGAATAACTTTTTTTTTTTTTTAACCTTGTCTGTACTTGTTTCCTCAAAGAAACAGTCAGAAGTGCCTTAATAATAACAGCACAGCGGCCGCGAGCCTGTCTGCATCTGGTTGACCTTTGTGCTGCTCCAGGTTGTGGACGTTTGCTGGGACCTTATGGAAGAACAGAGTGTTGCTACAGTTCTTGGAAAACAAGCAGCTGTTTTCCAGGGGACTTTGAATGAAGAGCAGTGAACAAGACTCCGGGGGTGTCCCCGGTCCCTGGGGACTAGGACAAGCCGGAGATAGAGGTCTTTTGCATTTCAAAGCAAGTCAACTTGCTTTTTTCATTTTTACCCCAGATCTAGGAGACCATTTCTTCCTTTCTTTCTTCTTTCTCAGAGAAAAGCCTGAAAGTCAGTTGAATAGGGGTATGTGACCCTGTGGCAGAGTGATGCTGTGAGCCACGGGGCATTTTGATCTGAGTGGTTAGAGCGGTTACTCTGACAGGGGAGAAGCATCACTCTGCTCTCTCTCCCAAGACCTCCTTTTCTGAAGCCTCAATTAGACTCCTGCAGAAGTCCCTGTGGCCAGAGGCATGCTCTCCCTGCCGGCTTATCAGAGGTACTCAGGCTGCTGTTGGCCCTGGCAAGTCAGATACAGTCACGTTCTCCAAGCATTTTGTCCTCTCGTGATCTCATATTCCCTCACCCTGAGGGGGGAAAAAGGAGGTGGGCGGAGAGAGTGGCCGCTAAGGGTAGTGAGCAGCCTTGGGTTGTTTTCCGGAACTGAGTAGGCTCTCGGCTCAGCTGCGTGTCCGTGCAGCATGGATAGGTGAGCGGCATCACTCCACTCAGTTCTTCCTTTTCTGCGCTGCCCCAGCTCCAGACTCGCACGATATGGGAACAGCATGTGTGGACTTGTTTGTGGTCATCGCAGGGAGATGGTTAAGAACCAGGACTTTGAAGTCAGACACACCCAGATTCGCATTTCAGGTTTGCCGCGTTCTTGCTGTGCGACTGAAGTATCAGCACGATTTTCTCATCTGTAAAATGGAGACAAGAGAGACTAGCTCCTCTCTCACAGGCATGAGGTGTGGATTAAAGGAGATGCTGCACGTAGGCAGGTAACATGGGCTGTGGCGCACAGTGAGAGCTTGATAGATGGCAGCTTCTGTAGAGCTCTCTAGGGGGTCCCCGAGCTCAGCACAGGGTAGGTGCTCATGGAAAGGGAATAAGAGATTAATGGAGGTGAAAAGATACTGGGGAAATGCATATGGGAACGACTGTGTTGAATATACTAGGTATCCTTTCTGGGATTAGAGCCCCATTGAACACAGTGACTGGAGAGAGAAGCTACTGTCTATGTCATAGGCACCATCAGCCTTCATTGTCTGTGAGACAGTGCCCCCTCCCCTCATGATGTAAGTTGACCTTGCCCCAAAGCAGTTATATCAAATATACACTCAGGTACATTGGAGGTGAAAGGGGGAAAAAAAACTTAGCAAACGATAATCCTGCATAACTGTAGCATATACATGTTTACCTGCAGAGTAACATGCCTTCTTAGGCATCACTTGCCCTTAAAGTGAAGAGAATTATATGCTTTCTTTAGGTCCATTTAATCTGTGCTAGATTGAGACGGGGACTCATTTTCCCCGAGATGCTCAGGTGGAGGGCTTATTTTCTCTTCCATAGCAGGTATGTTATTCTAGGTGGTGGCACATCCTTCTTTAAGAAAGAATAACCCCCTCCAAATATTTTAATGTATTTTATCTGAATTACAGTTGCTAAGAGTCTCCCAGTTTCATTAAGTATATACCATATCTTTTCTCAACTAGTTATGTGATGGAATGGCTTCCTTAAATGTATTGTTGATCTAATCCCATGATGGATGCCTTTTATCTAAAGACAAAAACAATTTGTGCAAGTTCGAGTGCCTATATGTTCATTAAAGAATATAGAATATAGCTTGAAAACCCCTTAGTTTATGTCAGGTGACCTCAAAGGCAGGAAGGTGACCATTCTGCAGCCGGTGTCTTTTCTGTGTCTCTCCCGGTACGTCCAGAACCTCTCCTTGTCATCCGCGTCCGTGGCTCTCACATCCACTCACTCACTCTCATCATTTCCATTATGGATCCCATATTTATTTTTTCCCTCTAAAGAAGCACTTGTTCAGAACCCTCCTCACTCTGCTGCTCACTCTGCTGTCTGTAACGTGTGGGATGGTGGTTGAGGTCAGGTCCTCATCTGAGATATTCTGCCATCAGCCTCCCTCTATTCACAGCTGAGCTCATTTAGAGAAGAGTCTGCCCTCTTTCCATTTCTCTCAGTCTTGTCCTCGACAAATATCCGAGTGTCTGCTCTGTGCCAACCACCTTCTCCTCCCATACTCTCTTTAACTCAGTGAAGTTAGGTTTTGTTGTTGTTGTTGTTTGTTTGTTACCCATCTCTTCTGTCACTGGTGCCCTCTCTTAATTGTTAGACCCCGTGGCCTTTCCAGTGATCTTTCTTCTCTGGGTTTGGGCAGTATTGACCACTTCTTCAAAAATCTCTTTTCCCTGCTTCCCCCTTGACTTCACTCTTCTGATTTACCTTCCATGTTTCTTGTAATTTCTTAGCTACTTTCATAGTTTTCTCTTCCTCTGCCCATTTCAAGCCTGGTCCTCATGAGCCTGTCACTAGTTAACTTCTTAGTCATACAGTTTCAGTGGGCAATCTATCCAGACTCCTCTGTGCTGAAGCACACCAAAGACTCGGTGGGTCTCAAACCAGTATCATCTTACTCTTCTCGAATTCTCAGTGTACTCAGCAACAAACTTCAAACACACCCCATCTTTTTCTTGGACTCTTGGCAGCTATCTAAAAAATTTGCACATGAAAGACACGCTTGTCCTCCTTTTAGTTGAGAAGGTAAAATACATGTTTGAGGCAGGCAGTGTTTAGGTTAAGGCTTGACTGAGGATTTGAAGGATAAAGGTGAAGAAGCAAGGTAGAAACAAATGAAGAACTACAGTATCTTTGTTCATGAAGGTAGTAAGGGTATCAAACCTCCCAAAAATTATCTTCAGATTCAATGCCATTTCCAGCAGAAATTCCAACAGGTTTTGTTGGATGTGACGGGCAGATATCTGAACATCTGTGGAATAGCAAAGGACGAAGATGGCTGGATGCTTCTGACTATAATGAGGAGGTTGAGGGGACCTTTTACAAGACAGTAAGTTTTATTACAGAGTTTGTGTTGTATGTGGTGCAGAGGTAGGCGCTCTGAGCAGTGCAGCGAGCTAAGGAGCCTGAGAAATAGCCCAGGTGTATATGCTGCCCTTTGAGATGTGATGAGGTGGCATGGCAGGTCAGTGGGGGCAGGAAGCGTGGCTCCATAAGTAGTGCTAGAATCACAGTTATCCTTATGGAAAACAGTGAAATGGATTTCTGCCTCACACCTCACCTAGCAGTCAATTCCAAATACATTAAGGTCTTGATTACGAAAAGCAAATACTTAAATGTTTGCATGGAAAAAAACCTTAGGGCCAGAAAGAATCTCTTGAGACATATGCTAATCATAAAAGAAAAGACGATTAAATCAAATATATTAAAACTAGCACTTAAGCTAACAATTTAGTGTAGTGGAAAGATAAACCAAGACTTGACATTTATGATACAGTTAACTGAAAAAGGAGTAGTAAGCAGAATATATAGAGAATTCCTATTTTTTAAAAAATAAAACAGAAAAATAGCCTTCCTCTTCTGGGGACGGTATCTAGAGACATTCAGGATGGTCCAGCGTTTGACATACAATCGTAGGCTGTCCTACAATACAGTCTCTAACAAAACCAGCCTGTCCCGAACCCCTGGTAATAGAATTGTTTACCTTTATACCAAGAAGATTAGGAAAACACCAAAATCCGCCGGTGGCGTGTGCTCAGGCCGACTTCAAGGACTTCGCACCGTGAGACTTTAAGTTCTTGTGAAATCGTCTAAAACAAAAAAACATGTCAGCCGGGCCTATGGTGGTTCCATGTGTGCTAAATGTGTCCGTGACAGGATCGAGCACACTTTCCTTATTGAGGAGCAGAAAATTGTTGTGAAAGTGTTGAAAGTACAAGCACAGAGCCAGAAAGCTTTATTTAGCTTTTGTATTTAAAATTGAACCCTTTTTGAGTAATAAAAAAAGAGTAGAAAGTACAAAAAAAAAAAAAACAGAAGAAACTTGAAAAGACATTTCACAAGAAGAGGAAATACATAGGGCTTATAAATGAGTAGAAACTAGAAACCTTGGAGATATGAATTAAGACCACAATGAGCTTGCAGTTTATATCCATAAGATTTGTAAAATTAAGGAGTCTTACAGCACCAGGTGCTAAATGTGAGCTCATCATTGTGTGGATGTGTAGACAGGCACCTCTGCTTTAGAAAACAACTACACCTCACAGAGTTGAACATTTGCATACTTTAGGATCTAGCGTATGACTCCACCTCCCAGTTGTGTATCCAGTAAACTCTTACATTTGTGTACCAGCAGGCGTGTACAAAAATGGTTATAGTAACATCTTCATAATAGTTAATAACGGGAAAAACTGAAATGCCATTCTGTCTACGAGAGAATGTTTAAGTAAATTAGGTATATTCACACTACGGGATATTATTCTGTAGTGACGAGGTGAACTACAGCTATACCTGACAATAAGAATGAATCTCAGAAAATATTAATAAAAAAAAGCAAGTCCCAGGGTATGGTTGAGACTATTTTTATTGAGCTCAAAACCAAGCAAAACCAAAGAGTACATTGTCTAAGCATACATAAATGGCAAAACTATACTGTAAGAAGCAAAACAAAATAATGCTAAACCAAAATTTAACCTACTGCTTACCTCTGAGAGGGAAGCAGAGGGAGTGGATAACAGAGGGACACATGGGTAGTTGCTGGTTACTAGTAATGTTCTCGTTCTTAAGTTGTATGGTAGGTTTATGGTTTATTATGCTTTATAACCCATGTATATCGTAGAATTCTGTATGTATTAAATATGTTGTACGTGATGTATTAAACATAAAAATAATAAAGGAAAAGGAATAATAAGCCAAGATCTGGGATGGTGACTTTGTAGATAATGTTTTGTGTGTGTCAAATGTATTTTTTAAAGAAAGGAAGGACAGAGTACACAGCAATGCAAAGGTGGGGACAGAGAGTGGAGCATCTGTGCCCTGTCCAGCCAGATCTAAGCGTGGCTCCAGATACCGGGCTTTGGAGGATGATCGCTGGAGGCACCGTTGACGCAGGTGGAGAATGTAGGCGGGGAGGAGAAAGGAGCTCTGGACAAGTTTCCTGTGGCTGAATACCGGCAGTTGGACACCTGACTTTGGGATTTTGGAAGAATGGCGTTAGAACTGGGAGACTTCCACGTGGAGGTGGAGGTGCAGACGGGATCGCATCTGGAGAATCTGAAGAGAAGATGAAACTTGATTCTAGGACCAGGGATCGGGGAGGTGGGGAAGCCAATGGAGGAGCCGCCGTGTGG